GGCTGTTGCAACACCACCCCGCGGAGGATTTACTTTTTTTTCCGAGCCGTGTCAAATAAATCTAACCCTGCATAATTACCTCGCGGCAATTAGTTTCTCTGTTGCTACAAAGGCAAAGTTAATTGAGTATTACGTCGAGCGATGTCTCGCGTGTTTCTTTGCTTAAAGAAAGAGTCTGACATTTTGAGAAATATGCTTATTGACTCGCCGAGAGTTAGATGCCGAGATTGATGCTGAGAATCCGTCTGCCTGTTGTATGGATAAGGAGCCGGTCCTCGGGGACTCGTCACTAGACTGTAGTTACTGTTCCCGTGGCGGTTACAGTCACTTTCAGCTCTTCTATTTTTGGTTTTCTGTCCTGTGGCTTACTATTTTTGCATGTATATGCTGTGTTGTTTTCATGACTGAGCACATATTTCATCTCATCTAAATACAGTGTGGTGACGTGAGAATCTCCACTTGAAGGTCCCGTATGGTCACAACACATTTATATTGTGTTTTATGCATTTTATCAACTAAGAGGTGTGACAATATGAAGACGTTTGCAATTCTTCCAGCTCCCCCTTTAACTATAAAAGCCTTCCAGCTTTACAAGCCATCACACTTTTATCCAGTTTCTACATAGCAACGAATTGTAAAATTTGCATATTCTCTGCAAGCACTTTGTGATATTGTCATAAAAAATGACTGGTTTCACACACTCAGTCACATAGTGGACGCAGAGAGAGTCTTCTTCCTGAAGGGGGCAGCAGGGGGAGCTAAATTTAAAGCTACAGACACAGAAACAGCCGCGTTTCGAGGTAAAAATTAAAACACACATTGTGCAGACATGTCAGACTTTAAAAATGTGACCCATCTGCACGAAATCAGTCACATTGCGCCTTCGGCTATATCCCAGATACAGCCCGAATTACGTCAACACATGGTAAAATATCAGTTTAGTTGTTTTCTGCATGTAGGTAGCATATAATACGACAGAGCATAATAATACTACGCTCCATATCGTCGTCGAATACCATCAGCGTGCATGAGCGGTAACACCAGAAAGAAGACGTGGAAATCACTTGTGCGCAGGCGAGCAAGTCGTCATTGGCAGCCAATCCTGTCCCATGATTTGCGTCATGTGGTAGCAACATGCCGCTTTTGTTTACACGTAATAGCCCAAGGCACAATGCGACTCATTTCGTGCAGATTGGTCACAAATGTGAAACAACATGGGCTTACCTTTTAGTTTACCTTTAGGTTTTTTGATGTTGTTTTAACCGGAACCTGACTTAACTTGTTTCCCCATTTCTGAATGGTCCATTGCTTTGTTCGTCTCACTTAGCCTGTAGAACATAATGACCTGGCTGCATCTTAGTCCCATTCTGCTTTTCAGGGGTGGGAATAAAGCTGTTGTGGGTGGATGCGGCTTCGGTATTTCTTCAAAAATATTGATGAGCGGAATTGTTTTGGTGGAACATCTAGCACTTAGGGAGACGAGCGCTGTAATTAAAGTGGATAATCCATGAGGAAGAAACTGCTGCCTGCCTGCATGCGCGATCCAAATCCTCTGCAAAACTTGGAATCTTCAGTGCGATAAGTTGCTGCCCGGAGGTTGCAGTTGTTTTAGAAACTTCAGCAGTGGAAGTGAAGGACAAAGCTGCCTGAGACGAGCGGCCAATGGCAGACTTATTCCCATATGCTATATGTAGTGAGTCAGACTTTGTAAACAGGTATCTTGCCAAGCTTGCAAGCTCGTCAGACATTAAGCCACCTTATTTTCCTTTTACTTTTAAGACAGTTCTTTTAGTGCGGATGCTGGAAAAAAAACTGTCTGATGTTCTCCTCAGCAGCCACTCCTGACAGATCAGTCACTCTGCTTTCTTCTACACCTTCCTGAGGAGTATTTAGCTGTCCGTTCTGCCTTGTATGCTCAGCATTCACTGTCGAGTTTCTTCGTCTTTGCAGCGAGCGTTCGTGTTTTTGTTGCTGGTCTGTTAATACAAACATTACCGCTCCATCTATTGGAAATTACTAACACGCAGGCGAGATTTCGGGTCAACAAATGAAGCAACAAAACTGCATCGGGTCAAATTAAAGCGTTTGAGAGGCTGCATCTGTCCAGCAGCCTGTGATCCCTGTTTGACCATGTCTGCTTGATAAATGCACGGCCGACACTCAGGTTTGAGAGGTTGGAGAGAGGTTTGTAGCTCCAAGCACAAAGCCAAACATCTCTCTGCTTGCAGATTGTATATCCCTGCAGATAGAAATGTCTACCAGAAGCCTGGGTTGTATACAATTTGAATAATGCTTCGCCATAGAAAACATTTTTTCCAATTTGTTGTGCATTCTGTGCTCCTTCTGAATGATGGAGTCACACAGACCGATGGCGTCTGGAGTAAAGAGCCTGGTCAAGAATTGAAAATGTTTTTTTTTTCTTCTTCCTCCTCCTATTGCAATATCCTCCAGAGGTTTTTGGGGTGCTTCTCGTTAAGATGAGAAATACCGAGATGGTGAGAGATGAAGGAGAGGTGCAGGGGAAAGATGAGGTTTATACTGACGCTCTGCCACCAAATGACCTGTGTGGTCCCCCCTACTTCTCCCTGCCTCCTGGGAGTTGGGGAAAACATCCTGCCGATGACATGAATCATGGATGAGTGTGCATCACCGTGTGTGTGTGCGAGCAGAGATACAGTATTTTGGGGGAAAAACCTTTAAATCTGTGAGTGTGATAGCGTGTCTCATTCCAACGCCACACATTCTCTGTCCTATATGTTGCCCACCAGTCGTCTCTGCCTCTCTGCTTCATCAATCACTTAAGCTCTCCCACTGCTCACAGCAAAGCCGGACCAATTAGGCCCTCTAATTGAGCCAATTAGCAATTAAACACCCAGATGCACCCTGAAATTCTGAAGGTCCCTCCAGGCAGACTCGTGACTGCCAGGACTGCCTTTGCCAGGGATACGTGGGCCTCTGCTGCTCTACCCAGGCTTGAGGTGCAGGTTGACCCTCACCCTGGGCCTGCAGATGTGGATCTATTAGACGTCCACTTCCACTTGTGTAGCCTCCTCTGACCAGCTTCACATGAACAGGTTTCCTCTCCATCTGCACCTTTCATCTTCCGGTTTGTCTCCCTGCTCCTTTTTTTCCTCTCTTTTTTTTTTTTCATCTTTGCCTCTCGCTCTCCCAGTCTCTTTTATGTTTTTTTTTTGGAGGATGAAAGTTTAATGGCACTGTAGATGGTATGTGCATATGTGTGTGTGTTGGCTGTGTGGGTGAAGGACTCGGCTTCGCACGCAGCGCAAAAGCAGGCTGGCCTCTAGACTCTCCATGGTTTAATTAGAGGCGCACTCTGTGCCGGCCGCTTCCCTGTGAGCGGACACACATCCAGACGCACACATGGGCGCGTGGGCAGAACAACAAAGTCCACACTGAGAGGAACAAAGGCAGCCACCAATATATTTTAGTCTGAACGCACTGTACCAAAAGAAGACAATGAGCGATTACAGACGCTACTCGCATGCAATTACCGCAATCTGAAAGACCACAAATCTGTTTTCGCCACACTTTCCCCCCTACAAGCCCAAGTGTATCCTCCCCTCAAAGAGCTTGTCGTACATAAGGAACTTTATTATTACATGAATGAGCCTCCTTATTCGTATTATCTGCTCATCAGCCTATAGACTCTAATTATCTGCCGTCTTGCCTCAGGACACTCAACTCCCATACTTTCAGATTCTAATGGCTTTATTGGAAGTGGGAGAGAGAGGGGAGGAGGGAAAAAAAAGAAAGAAAACAAAAACAGAGTGGGTGCAGGCGATGCAATAATAATTATGGTTTTAAACAGGACAGTTACGGCACGGAGACACAAAGGTGTAACGGTGGAAATCATATACGACTTTGTGTGTCAACATCTTTTTTTTTTCTAGTCTTCATTACCGCGAGGGTGCGTTCGTCCCGTCCCGTTACGTAACACCGCCCAACAATGTCGTTAATCTCCTCCATGCATTCGCTAACTCCGGGTCCGTTACATGAGGATTTGCACATTTGCGCAGTAGATTACATGAATGAGTGTGCAGCGTGTAGGAACTCATTCATGCGTGGGTCAGTTCAGGCTTACCGTGCGCATGTGTGCGCGCTACATATAGCCCAGAGAGCGTTCGGTGCTGCCGTAAGCTGCTTACATATTATTGACCTCTGACCTCGCCGGGCAGTGAAAGGCTCAGCCTCTCCGTCCACTCCGTCTACTGTACTGGTATCGACAACACTGAAACGTCTAGGAAACTAATAAATATTGAGGTTGCAGTGTTGTTAGACGGAGACCACAATGTGGCGTGACTACATGCGCTGCACTACATTAGCTCTCTGCAGGGATGTGTGTGAGCTGGCAGGTTAAACACAGTTCACCAGGAGGGATTTGATGCCTGTCCTCACACAGGTCAGACCAGGACAGGGGCGAACATGTCCACTTTGGGCTTTTCATGCATAATAAATAGGCAGAGACATGTAGAAATGTGCACTCAGCATGGAGTCCGATTATGTTGCACAGACCAGAGGAAGGAAAATGTGATCACAGGAGCTGCATCTGTTTGAGGTGCTTTTCTTCTTTACCTACACTGGAGGAGAGCGTTTTCTTTTTTTTTTTTTTTAGCTTGCAATGTAGTGAAATGAAGTGAAACGCGTTGATCACCACATAAAGTGTTCCCAAAATGAACCCCGTCTCTTCATCTCCCAAACACTGTCTCTAGATTTAGAATGTCTTCTCATTTCACTGCTTTCATTTCAGGGAATGCTTTTTGCTTGGCAACACTTAAAGGGCTGAAAAAAAAACTGCTGTTCTGACAACATTTAATGGAATATATTTCTGTTTCAGATAAGCTATAATCTCTCTTATCTTTCTGTCTTTCTTGTCCCCTCTTGCCTCCTCTCTCTTGCTGTTTTTTTGCTCTTTCTATATCACCATTCTTCTTTAAATCTCCTCCTCCTCCTCTCTCCTGCTTCTCTGTCTCATTCTGCAGAATTCGCCATCAATCCAATTATCGGGATAATAGAAGACGAATAGGTATGGAACGCAACAGAACCATGGCCGGAGAAGTGTTTCGGATCGCTGTTGCTCAGAATCAACACTGACCTGGCACCCACACCGAGGTCCCGCCCCCTTCTCCAGCACCCCAAGGACCCTTCTTTCCCCAGCAACTGCTTTGCCCTCCATCTCACCTTCACTCAGCAGCCCTGCAAAACCTCCACAAAAAAAAACTCCTTTTAGTCTTTAAGGGTCCACCTGCTTGTGTTGTTTTTAATCCCCCTCTTATGCTTTACCTTCCAGATTGTTGGTTATAATCCACATTGTCTCAAACAGACAAAAGTTCTCCCAAACAGAATAGAAGCAGGTGGCGGAACAATATGAATCCAGTCATGTACCCCCTTGGACTTGCTTCGAGTAAGCAAAGTCGACGGGGTTTGTTGTCCCGGACACGCCCTCTTAGTCTTTTGACAGACTGGTACCTCATGAGTTTGCTAGGGCTCATTCTGCTCTTCAGCCTGGCCTCGAGCCAGAAGATGGATCCCTCCAAACACCCCATAGTCACCACTAACTACGGCAAGCTCCGAGGCATCAAGAAGGACTTGAACAATGAGATTCTAGGCCCCGTAGAGCAGTACCTGGGCGTGCCCTACGCCACGGCGCCCATCGGCGACCGCCGCTTCCAGCCACCCGAAGCCCCCGGATCCTGGCAGGAGATCCGCAACGCCACCCAGTTCGCTCCTGTGTGCCCTCAGAACGTCCACGGGGTGCTGCCAGAGATAATGCTGCCCGTGTGGTTCACGGACAACCTGGACGTGGCGGCGGGTTACATCCAGAACCAGAGCGAGGACTGCCTCTACCTCAACGTCTACGTGCCCACGGAGGATGGTGAGTAGACAGAGTGACACGAAGGGTTGATGGAGGTGGGGGGTGAGGGGTAACAGTGAGAGAAGGCAACAGATCATTTGCCGTTCACTAAGCCTCGCCCCTTGAGTTACTATTTATATGCCTGTCAAGCTTTCCAGACTCATATGGGAGTGGATTTACCCCAGGAAGTTCTTAGTGCAAAGTCTGGTAGAAAAAGTCAACTTGTTTTTTGTTGGCTGAGCCGACGACTATCTCTGCAAGATTTCTCCATGACATTGACAAGTTAGCTGAAACCTCCTGACTGACTTTTGAATGTTTCCACCTGTTTCTATTTAAAGCAATCGATGGCTATATGCATTTGAAGGTAGGGCCAAAACTGAACAGCAGCATTGTTTTAGTAGTGCCGCGTGGAGTTGCTAGCAGTGTTACATTCACACGCAGATTACAGCACAACAGAACCATGATTTATGTGCTGAGCTTACACTTGCAAAAGCAAGACAAGGTCAGAGCCAGCTGGCCACCCCTCTTGCTCCCCCACACTTTCATTAGGGAAGCCCATTAGAAGACTTCTTTATTGTTTCCTAACCATGATGTAATTAAAGTGTTGACAATTAAAAAAGAATAACTTGAAACCACCATTCAAGAATCAACTGAGGGTTACATAAAATCACTGAGTATATATGCGTCCTCATGGCGTGCTTCTACTTCTTCCACCGCTCGCTGCTCGTGCCTGCGTAAGTTAAAATTAAGTTTTCGCCGACAGCAATTTGAAAAGATCAGTGTGGATTCTGCCTTCAACCTGGTCACCTCCGTAAAAATAGCCTGGCTCCATCGACAGACAGAAATTAGATTAACACTTCAAGTGTGTTGGAGGATAAAAGGCATTTAGAGTGAAGACTAACCAGCAAGTAAGTTCTATCTGAGATAATGAGTTCGGCTGGAGTGCAAATATCCCCCAAATCAATTTCCAGGCTGCTAATTACAGCCAGTGCTCTGGTGTACAGTAGTAGCTTCTGTGCAGAACTAGTGGCAGCAAGTAAATGCTGGTTGTGAATGGGTCCTTTTAACGCAACCTGCAACCACACAAAATATTGAAATGTGCAGTGCCAAAGCTGTAGGTGAGCTACTTATCCAGACATGCAGACGTTAAGTCCAACCCCATATTTTACACATGGAGAAGCTTGACAGGTCTAGTTGTGGTTGTTAACCTGTCACTGTACAGGGGGAGGGGCTTAGTGAATGGCTAGTTACCATCAATGACAAGGGAGAGGTTTTATTGTGTTGGAAAAGTTTCTGGAAATGTGAATATTATGGTTCTTTTCTAGGTTCTTGCCCAACTTTAAACACTATAAATATCTCATCTGCTTCTTGTAGATAATGACTTTTAAGACTGTGTGTGTGTGTGTGTGCGTGTGTGTGTGTGGGGAGGCTCGTATAAAAAGAAAGATAAATATCCCACGGAGGGTCCGAAAATTTTTCAGCCACCCTTCACTGGTTTTATGTTACATCCCATTCAAGGTGTTATAAAGCAGGAGAACAAAGACGAGGACTAGAGCAGCTTCCAGGTGCTTTACGAGAAAAGGATTAGATGACTTTTGACTTTTCCTACTTTTCTTTTTTTCTTTTTTTTCCCCCAACTGTCAAGAACTCCTCCTCTCTAAACTCAGATCATACTGCGGACATTTTCGTCTGCACAGACACTATTAGGTGCAATGAAAAAGAAATATTTCCGTCTTGTCGGCAGGTGTGGTTTGAAGAGTAGACTTCCATCACCACCCCCTCCTCCTCTCTCTCTCCTTGCCTAGGGTATTGTAAGACGTGTTTCACATTTGTCTTTTCATTTCTATATCTCTAATATAAGCTGCACAAAGCTTGCTGAGAGGAAAAAAAAAAGATTCACGTCGGCAGGTTTCACTTGCAAAAAAAAAAATAGTGGGTTTATTTTTTCATCTCAAAGCCAACTGGACATTTTCTGAAAGATAAACTTACAGATGGATTTGACTGAATATCTGTGTAGTGCAGATGAAAAGGGATTTTTTTCTTTTAGTTTTTATAAGAAGCGCATACACACAGATGTTCAAACAAACAAATGTGCTTTGACAAAAAAAAACTGAATGTCTATATGTTTGTGTTCTCGTGTCTTTCCTCCTACTGTCTATTTGCGGAGATGTACGTCAGGATAAGAAACTGATTTACACTCTTCGCTTTAACACATTTCAGTTCCCTTTTCAGCACTTCCATCACTTGACTGGATGTTTTTTTTGCTTTTTTTTAGCCCTCCTCTTGCAGCCTTTCCTTCCGCTTCTCCACTCCCAGCAGCCCTTGACACACCATCACCACCACTTATAGCTCCTTGGGCACATATACAGCGCCATACATCAACTTTTTTTTTTTTTTTTTTTTTATCCCTGGGTTTGTCAGTGTGTGATGTAGTTAAAATGCAAATGTCTGAATACGCATACAGTACAGATATACACACACTCGGGGCCACTTACACTCTGGAAATGTCACAAAAAAAACAACAACTCTCGGACAGTGACCCACATTCATCAACGTGAATCAGCAGCAGCATTGTCAGTTTAATACATATTTAACTAACGGTGACGTGTGTGCTCCTTAGAAAGACCATTAGCACAATTAAAAGCAACTTCATCTTTCATCATCATCGCCGATCTATTTATTGTGGTCCATGACATTGCTAGCCTCAGCAATCTCTAGCAGCCCAAGGGTTGTCTTTCCTCTTTTTCTTCCCCTCCTGCATTGATTTTAAATCCTTTTTTTTTTTTTACATATGCAGCTCAGGAGGAAAAAAAAACAGGAAGATGGGAGGGAAGTAGGAAAAGAGAGGTGAGCAGGTGAACTCCAGAGAGGAAGGAAGAAGGAAAGAGCTCTTGGGCAGTAGTTAAAAAACCAGCCATCACTCGCGGCCCGTAGGGACGATCAGCTCAGCTCATTGCCACACAATGTGACACATTTTTACTCTCATATCTACACGCATGCTGATTTCCTCCCATTTTCTCTCGCCGTGCCATTGATTGCGCTTCATTCTCCTCACTTTTAAAACGAGAACGCCGCATCTGTGCGTCTCCCGAGGCCTTTTACTTGTATCCTTTTTTTAGGGCACCCTTAAGACAGAATCCTTAAAAACCCTCCTCTAATTTTAAGTGGATTAATCCTGCAGAATTACTTCTTAATGCTGCCATCAGTGCAAATGGAAGAAAGTGGGACGCTCTGACATGGGTGTGTGTGTTTGTTCGTAGATAAACAAATGCGCTAACATTTGGCGGTTACTCATGGCACTTTAATTAATACTTAAGCACTTAGTAAGTTGCAAAGCTAGCCATGTGTTGTCAGTTTTTTTTCCCCCCCATTAATACTGTGGCATGTCATGGGAAAAAAAATATGTTTCTGAATTTGTAATGCTTTTGGAACAAATCACGAAATGAAACGCAGCTAATAATCTGGCAGTAATAACGCAGAATTACACTTGTTACTATCTGATTAACCGCAGCTTAATCTAATATGCAAATGAGGAGGTTTGTGTTTTTGGATTTTATTGCTTTCAATGTACACCAAATCAGCCACAACATTAAAACTCTGACAGGTGACGTGAATAGCTTCCTGCTCTTGTGCAATCTTCTGCTGGGAAGGTGAAGGTCCTGCAATTTAGGTGGATAAACAATCCTTATTCACATTGCAGCAACACTCCCAGACGACATTTCCCTCCTCGAGCGAGACAGTGCACCCCACCACACGGTTAAAAACTGCTCGACGAACATGATAAAGTGTTGATTTGTCCTCCTACTTCAGAGATCTCCAACTCCGGTCCTCGTGAGCGGCTGTCCTGCAGGTTTTTAGATGTTTCCCTGCTGCCACACACCTGACTCACATTAATGGATCTCCAACAGCTTGTTGTCAAGTTCTACACAAGTCTGCTAATGATCCATTAATCTGAGTCAGGTGTGCTGCAGCACGGAAACGTCTAAAACCTGCAGGATAGTAGCTCACGAGGATTGGAGTTGGAGATCCATGTCCTGATTCTTCTCAATGCGATCGAGCATCTATTGGATGCACCAGAACATTCCCATTATAAGGCGGCAGCAGCCTGCAACCAACAGGACCCAAAGGATCCTTTGGCAAGGTCCTAGTGTCACACGGAGCCTTTTTGGTGGCATGAGGTGGATCTCCACCGAATTAGGCAGTTGTTTTTTATGTTATGGCAGATCAGACTGTGTAGATTTCTGAGCTTGAACAAATAATCAACATCAACACACTCAATAAATCATTATTTATGTATAGAAAAGATCAATTGTGGCACTTTATACGTTACAGTTTTAGCGTTTAGGTATTTAGATTCTGGTACTGTAAGGGACAATTCCAAACATGCACCCAGATCCATCCACAGAACTCAACTAGAGCTGCTTTAAAGCATCCTCGCTTGCTTTTACGGCCTTTTGACCTGTATTATATACATAATAACACACAGTACATATAGACATAATAGTCTGTGAGACCTTTCCACCCCACCAGGTATTAAGTGGTTTTCTACAGCGACTCCAGCTTTCCAGTCCTACGCTGGTCCCTGGAATACTACTATGATATACAGTGTTTATTTTGTTTCCCCGTCCCTTCGGTAGCAAAGCATATCAGGCTTTAGGACCCAGGGGAAGCGGTTTTGCCCTCCGGCAGGTAGCTCCTTCACCAAACGCAGGGAGGGACGGGCTCCGTTGGTTCCCCGGGAGACGACACCCCATAAATCATAGCGAGAGGTTTTCATCTGGCTCCTTGCAGAGTCACGCTGGGTCGATGGACGAGGCGAGGGAAGGACCCTCTGCTGCTGCCGCTGCCGCCGCCTCGGGCCCACAGACAAACCCGCACGCTCCTCTCAGCAGTCCGTTAACACAGAGCAAGGCTTCATGGTGAATAAGCTGGAGGAGCTCGACTCAGCAGCCCCCAAATGGGAATGTTTACTGGCATACAGGATCCATTATAGCCGTGCTTTGTGCAGTTATGCAGAGGGC